CCTAATATCTCATCTCAATCTCCCCTCTATCAGTGTAAAGACAGTCCCCCTTGCCCTATCCCTATAGGCTCTTCTAAAAAGTCTCTCTCCAGATTTCTTGACAGTCCCCTTTAGGTATTGGAAGACTGTTATAAGGTCTCCCCTGAGCCTGCTTTAAGGCTTATTGCCCTGGTGACCATCATGCATTTTGCCTTAACACAGCCCAAAGTGGGGAGCTCAGCTGTGGGAGAACATGGCTCCCTTTTTGCCTAAGGATGCTTATTGCCTCCGTGCTCCCAAGCGTGTGCCAATTTCTGATCCAGATCTAAATCCAAGCCAAGGTGTTGCCTCTGATTTGGAAAGGGCATTATGCTTTAGGCACCATATCTAAGGGTTATTAGCTAGCAGAGCACAAAGACAGCAACCGAGCGGCAGCTGCTGTCCAGAGGCTGTGCATGGGGAGGCCCTATATATAAAAATCAGCACTGCTGGGATCACACAGAAGCCTTTTTCGTCTCCTCTTACTCATAGAGATCCTTGGGGAGATGCTTTATTTAGTCAAACATTGCTGAAAGGGGGAACTGAGAAATTAGCCAGGCTTTGCTCCATGCACAGCGTGTGCCTGGGAGTGCACAACCTCTGTTGTTTCAGGTACAGATGTGTGCCACCCCTTCAAGGGGTAAAAGCTTTCTGCAGCAAAGTGACCGCTTGTTCCCCATCTGCAGAAACTCAAGGCAAGAAGGAAGCCAGTTTTCACTCTTCTGTGAACCTAAGGAAGTGTGATTTTCTGAAGGTGGTGAGAAATAGCTTCAGACATCTCCAATTAGCAGGGTGGCACGTGAGAAAACCCAGCTTTGCTGCTCCCTGCTCCACAGCTGTCCTGGGATGAAGGGAGAGCACCAGCACGGGTAGCTGGAGCCCACACACACCCTTCCCCTGTGCCTGCCTGCCTTGGAGCAAGCCCGGTGATGTGTAGGGCAGTGGAGAGGGATATTTCTGCATGAGCTGCTGGTTCAAAGTTGCCGGCGCTATTTCAGGCAGCAACACCTACACTGTCTTCCAGAGGGCTGTATTTTCCAGTGGGCACTTCAAATCAGGCCTCCCTCCTCCCCTCACAGGCCAGCTGTAAGCAACCTCCCTCCCAGAATCAACAGACAAACAAGCCCCAATATCTCATGGCCACTGGGTCCAATGCCACAGCCCCAGCGAGTTCTTAGATCCCACCAAGAGCACGGCACCTTCTGAGTGAAACAAACCCCAACGCCTCATCTCCCAAGAAGTACCTGCTGCAACAACAGGTCCTCTGCCTGCAAATCCTCCCGGGGATCTGCCACCAGCAGATTACATGCCAGACTAAGCTTAGCTAATCCTACAGGCAGGTCGCATACTTCATCCTGGAGCTGCGCAGCCTTTTCGGTGAGGTGCTGCAGGAGATGCACAAGTTCTAATTAAAGCTACTTTACAACTTCCTGCATTAGAGGCAAGAAGATATTTGCTCCTCTGTGAAAGCAGAAATCAAAGCCCATAGAGGTTAAATCCACACCAGTGAGAGCCCCTCCTGTATACACAACATGGGCAAGTATATGTTCCACACAGGAAACATGGACTCACGGAGAGCAGACAATGACACAAGCAACTTTGAAAGACCAGGAGGGTCAGGGCCATAACTCCCTTTCTGGACTCACATCAGGAGAACCCCCAGCAGGGATACCAGGTATCACACAGCCACCCCACCAGTGAGAGCCAGCACCGTGTCTTGCACTTGTTTCTTCCACCTTGATCTGTGCATGTAGGCACAAAAGAGATAAAAGGCAATCCAAAATTAGGGAGCTAAAATATGTGAAGAAAAGAGACAGGAGGAGAAGCAATAACAGGCATCATTATATAACAGTAAAAAAAAAATACCACAAAAAAACAGTAATACTCCCAGTGCAGAAGGGGTTTTAAGATGGGCAAGTGGGAGGTGAGACCCACAGGATCCTAGTCCCAGGGCCCAGATGCTCTCTGTGCGCCAGCAGGATGCCATGGCTGGGCAGAGTTGCCTCGGGAGGTGGCAGGTAGGGAAGTTCCAGGCTCTCGAGCCTCCTCAGCAGTAGTGGGCTGGCCAAAGTGGGAATCTTCCTGCCTGGATCTCAGCACAGGGGGGCAGACACAAAGTGGCCCAGGCGGTACCAGCATAGGCCAGCTGCACAGACTGGTTTTCCTGTTCTGCATCCCACTTCCCATGCTGCCCTTCCCTCTCCTCCAGCTTTCCATACTCTGCCCAGCGAGGGTCTGGATCCCATGCAGAGCATCACCACCTTCTTTCTCTCCTCCAAACAAGCTGTGCAGGCAGCAGAAACTGTTCTTGAACAGACAGACACAGAGATGCTCTGACCACAGACCTAATCCTGCAATGCATCCTGGACTCAACAAGCAGTGAGAGCAAAGGACACACAGCATCTTAGCCTGTGAGAAGGGGATGAATCACTGAAAACAGACCCAGGCACGGAGCCAGAGTAGGGAGAAGATGGTCCTGTGAGGCCTCCATCTTTGGGAGTGAGGGGACTGGAGTGATCAGAGCTATGAGGTCCCTCTCCACCCACCCAGAAGTCCACCCAGCATCTGGCCCCCTGGCTTCATAATATCCCTTTCAAGGCTGCAGCCTGGCTGTGCCTCAGAGGGCACATCATGACTGCACGCTTCACCCCCTCCCAACTCTGGGGTTGTACTCAGCCACCTGTACCCCTCCCGATCTCCCCTCCCAGCAGAAACAAAGGAGCAAGAAGGCAATCATGGCATGGTTTCCCAGTCTACCTTTCCATCAGCTTGGGTGCTATGAATCAGAACTTCCTGTCAGGAATGTCACCTTCAGCAGTAACCTCCCAGCTGAACCGAGAGCATGGAGTGCTCGGGGAACCACAAGTTCAGCAGGCTGAGGCTCCTGTTTCATCTTCATCACTGAACCAAAACACAGTTATGACAGTTCCCAATCACCAGCTCTTATTTTCCTTCAGCAATCTGCCACAGAGCCCTGCTGAGACAACACTCCCAACAACCTGCAAGAGCTCCTCAGCCCAGAACCCTCCTCAGACCATCAAAAACATAGAGACAAAAGCATCAGCTCCAAGAGGGTGTCACAGGCACAACGACATCCCTTAACTTGTTGTTACATCAGCCTACATGTTAACACTTTGGGCCCGATCCAGGAAGCAACGGAGCAGCCTCTCTTCCTCTTAAAGTCGTACCCTGCTTCTCAGAGATGTGCAAGTTTGGAATCCTTGCTTAAAAAACTCAAACAATAAAAGCCACGTGCCTTTTGCTGTGGTTTCATCAGATGATGAGACCACAGAACCAAGAAATTCCCCCATTTTCCCTTTTTGTAACCCTGCAACAGCTACTTCACTAAATTATGTTCACGATGGCCCACATACAGATGCACATGAAATTAGTTTCTTCCAAATTAGTTTTCTCGTATGGAGCCCGAGCCCATTTTCCTCAACAACATATTATGATATGCAAGGTTCCACCTTTCTCCCAGGAAACACATCTTCTAAATTTATCTTTTGGATAACTAGAAGAAGAGACAGGTCCAGCTTTCAAAATCTGGGGTCAGCAGTCCCGATGGCAAAGTGTTCACTCCAGAAACACTTAGTTACTAACGCAACAACCACAACACACGTGTGTTCATTACAGACCTAAGTATAACTTGATGAGGCCCTTTGCTTTTAATGAGGCAAAAGGCCAATTAACCTGATGAGGAAGTACAGCGTGCTGTCATTGAGTGGGGGACCTGGATTCCCTGGAGATATGCCCTGTATATCATAGAATAACAGAATCACAGACTGGTTTGGGTTGGAAAGGACTTAGAGCTCATCCAGCTCCAACCCCCTGCCATGGGCAGGGACACCTTTCACTAGAGCAGGTTGCTCCAAGCCCCATCCAACCTGGCTTTGAACACTGCCAGGGATGGGTCATATCCTCATAATCCACCAAAAACGAGAGATTCAGATCCATTTCTGATGGCATGGCGCAGCACTTGGAACTGCCCGGGTTAACACCGGCCTTCTCCGGATTCTGTGACACAGTATCTGAGCGTTCAAGCTGGACCAGCCTGGTATTTCTGTCAGCTCAGATCCTAACCCTGGGAAAATGCAGTCATTGTCTTTGCCCGGTCCCCCACAGCCCAGCCCATCGCAGGTATTCGCCCTGCCGGAGGACAGCACGGGAAATCCAGGCGCAAAAAGAGTAACGCTTCCCGGTGGAAGTCATTTCATAACCGCGTTCACGAAGGTGGTGGAGGATCAGAACACAGCATGCACACAACAGGAGAGCAGCGCCAGTGCGTTGTCAGGAGACATCTAAACGCGCTGAACGAACAAAAGAAACCCAACTTCACACCGCGAGGCCGTTATTTTGAAGGAGGCAAAACTTCCCGGCACTTAGGGCACACCTCGAGAGCCAGCACCAGCCCCCGGCCCTGCAACCCCGCAAAACGGCCCCTCTCCTCATCAGTAAACATGCCCCGGGGCGGGGAGCGCATCAGGCAGCACCGATGCGCGCAGAGCGAACGGAGCCACCACCGCACGCCGGTTCCGGCGCTCCCGACCTGGAGCCGCCTGCCCTCACCCGGGCGAACCGGGGAAAACGGCACCCGGGGCGGGGGGCGCTGGAAAAGCTCCGAGAACGAGGGCTCCAGCGCGCTACCGCCCGAAGGACAGCCGGCGGCCCTGGGCGCAGAGGCAGCCGGGCTGCGGGCCCGTTCCCGGGGCTCGGGGCTGCGCTACTGGCACGGCGCCGGGGGGCCGGGGCAGGACCTTGAGCCGGGAGCCCGGGGGAAGGAGCGCGGCCGTGGTGGCCGGGCCCGGTGGAGCGCATCGGACCCCGGTGCAGGCTCGGCTCCCGGTGCCGGCCGGCGGTGAGGCGGGGGGTGATGGCCGGGCACCCCCCTTCAGCCCCGGGGGTACGGACCCGCCGCTCCCCGCCGCCGCTCCCGCGCGTCCCCCGGCCACCGCCCCCCGCCGCCGCGGCGCGGCCCGTACCGCAGTCGGCGCAGAGGATCCGCGCCACGTCCCGCTTGAGGTTCTTGCCGCTGGTGTCGAGCGGGGCGAAGGCGGTGCGGAAAACGAGCGGCTCCTCGGTGGGCTCCAGGAAGAAGATGTAGCGGTGGTTGCGCTTCACTTTGAAGCAGGGAGCCTTGGAGCCCACGCTGATGAGCTGCTCCCGCTGCAGCCCGCCGCTGTTGAGGGGCCACAGGTCCAGAACCTTGACCAAAACCCCCCCGGCAGGACCGGCGGCTCCGCGGCTGTCATTGCCGCCGCCGGCGGGGGGGCCCACGGACTGCACCTTGCCCTCCAGCACCACCGCCGCCGTGTACGCCTGGTCCTGCACCGACTTGAGGCTGGGCGAGTAGCAGGCGAGGGAAACGCCGAAGAGCAGCATGGAGAAGCCGGGCGCCGGGTCGCGCCTCATGCCGCCGGCTACCGCTCGCTCCCCGCCGGCCCTGCGGCGGCCGGGCTGCGGGGCTGCGGCGCGGCGGGCGCGGCGGGGCGGAGCGGAGCGGCACGACGCGGAGCGGCACGGCACGGCACGGCACGGCGCGGCGCGGATCCTCCTCCGAGCGAGGGAGGTGGGATGCGCTCACCGCCGCCCCTTCCTCCGGGATGCTGACCCCCACCCGCCCCCTAAAACGGTGATTCCCCGCCCGGGACTCCCCCCGCCTCGGGGATGCCCGCTGCAGCAAAGGGGATCCCTGCATCCCTGCATCCCGCCTCCTGCAGGGTTGGGGGTCCCGGTGATGGAGGCAGATCGTGCTATCTCCATCTCAGCCGTGGAACCAGCCCCTCGCCAAGCCCCCAGTCGCCTGCCCAAGATGCCATCAAAGATGCACGCTTTTGGGGGCGGCTGCAGGTGCGTGATTTGCAGGGCCCAGGAGCCGGGGGGGGGTCCTATTTTCCCGATGTTTTTATGGAGCAGGGAGATCTGTGCCTGAGATCCCCTGTGCACCTGAAGAGAAGACATTAACACAGAGACAAATGGAGTAAGGTAATAGCTGAGGAGACAAAGCCTCCTTTCATGCCCTGATGCCTGCTGTCTCTTTTTAATAAACAAGTGCTCTTCCCCTGCAGTGGTTTCCAGGAGGAGTCAGTTTAATCTCCAAAAAGTGGCTTATTTCAGTTTATTTTTCCCAGCTGATCCTGAAGCATCTGTACTCACAAAGCCTCACCGCCCAGATGCTACAGTGTGGAAGGGATCTGAGATGCTAAATTAACAGCAGAGGACTTCACAGTTGTTATTGCACAGGATTTGCGTTGGCAGGGAGGGGCCACAGTCCCACCGGGGTGGAGGTGACCTGGAGGCAGAAGGCCGGGCTCAGCCTGAGGCAGACGGTTGGGGCACAGCCTGGAGCAGGGACACGGCTCCTGCCCCAGTGGCTTTACAGCCTCATGAGAATCCCTCAGCACACCCCGAAAGCACCAGCTCTTGGAGTGCATCAGGGAGAGGAGAGGAACACAGAAGGCAGGGTCCATTTAACAGAATGCAGCCAGAATCATCAGGAAAAATGGGAAGGGAGCAGAGCTCTGTGCCCAGCACAGGCACCGCCAGCTAGCTGCTTTTCCTTCTCTCCAAGGGGGATAACAGCTCTCTGAGCAGCTCTGCCATTGCAGGACCGTGATGCTTCAGAAGCAGCACAGCGTATTAACGGCAAGGCTTGGGGAGCATTTCTTATGTGCTTTTTCTCTCACTGATTCTGATTCTCTGTGGCTGTTTTCAGATGTTTTTGAAAGCTTTCTCTCTTGCCCTGTTTGGTGACAGTGCAAAACTGCAGAGGAGCACAGGTGGAGGCAGAAGGGACCAGGAGTGTTTCCAGTGGCAGATGGAAGGACAGTCTTTTGGATTCAGGAAGCTGCTTGAAGGAGCAGGGAAACCATCTGACCTCCCTCTGTCTTTGACACAAATCCTTGTGGAAATTCCCCTATCCCTAACACTGCTCAGACAGCAACACAGGTTCTGCCTTAGAGGGAAGGAGATACTGGACAGCATGACTGGATCTGGAGCTCTCCTACTGTACCCTGCCCCTCACCAGAAAAGATGGTTTAATTCCCAGGCATTTGAGTTGCTAATCCTTGTCCTCTCCCTGTTTGCAGGTTGAAATCCCAGTGGGACCACAGTGGTTCAATCACTGAGAGAAATTCAGCACAAAACCCCTGTGAAGCCTATGGGGCAGTTCTGAAAAGTGAGGAGTTTCGTTGTTTCAGGGGCATTTTGGAGTTGAAGACACTTGACCTCATAGAAGGGCACTGGCCACATCTCCTTGTAGCAGTACTTTTCCTTCTGTTCAGCCTAGCTCTTGTGAAGACAACTAGTCTTCATCACCAGAGATGCTTGAATTTCTTTTACCATTCCCTGCTGCTTCTCCCATATAAATGGAAAATCATTCTTTTCTGTAGGTCCTTGGGTATTTTGGCATATGAAATGGATAAGGCAGGGTCTGGGTGCAGTTACCAGCCCGATCTGAACACTGGTTTGAGAGAATGAAGCCTAAATAACATACTCTTCAAATGCCTTCCAAAGACTTGACCCTGTTCACAGAGTAACAGGCTAACGGAGGGTGGCAAGGAACCTCAGGAGGTGTGTGGTCCAAGCCCCTGCTCATAGCAGGGCCAGCTGGGGTAGCTCACTCCAGGTCATGCTTAACACAGGCTTGAAGCTCCCTGGTGAACTTTTTCCCATTTTGACCACCTTCATGGTGAAAAATGCTTCTCCTTATCCCTAATGGAAATTCCTGTGCTTCAGCTTGTGCCTGTCATGTGTTGCTCACCTCCATCTGACAGCCTCTGCCCCTCTACCACCTCTCTGAGGTGGCCACGAACAGCTCCAAGACCTCCTCCTCTCCAAGCTGAACAAAGCCAGCTCAATGAGGCTTTTCCCAGATCTCCTAACCTCCATCCCCTGACTTCTGCAGCTCTCATTCTAGTCTGTCAATGTCTTTCTGGCTGTAAAGTCCCAACTGAACCCAACATTCAGTGGGATTTCCAAATGCCACATAGAGGGGAGGGATCCCTTCCCTCACAATGCCTGTCGTGCCACAGCCATACAGCAGGTTTTGTGGGTTCTAGGAGAGTTTCTGTTTATTAGGGAGAAGACCAGCAAGGGGCCAAAGAACTTCGTCAATGTGCTACTTTCAGGTGGTTTATGCTCACCTGCAAGTCATGCTTGAGTTCACTACGGGTCTCAAAGAGACAGCTGGAGGGAGAAAGTCCTAATTCATCCTGCAGGGCTGGAGGCTCTGTTTCCTGGGGGATGCTGGGGATGCACAGGGAGACAGCCCAAAGTGTGCAGGGACATGGCTGACCATTACCCAGTGTGGGCAGCAAAGCCAAGCACAGCACCAGGAGGTGCTGTGGTCTTCTTGATAGGAAAGTGCACAGGGCAGAGTGATGGCTTACATCTAGCATGCCCATGGGCTGGTGATACTGAGTCACATCCTTCCCTAACATCTCCCTCCCAGGCTTAACATTGCCTTGTGGCATAGGCAGTGATCAGGATCCTTTGCCTCTGGGCTGCACTGTGCCTCACCATAGAAACATAGTTTGGGTTGGAAGAGACCTTCAAAGCTCATCTCGTCCAACCCTCCTGCAATGAACAGGGACATCTTCAACTAGATCAGGTTGCTCAGAACCATGTCCAGCCTGGCATGGAATGTCTCCAGGGATGGCACATCCACCGCCTCTTTTCAAAGCTTTCTAGAAAGATCTCAGATGAGCAACAGTGTTGGGGCTCAAGCATTGTGCCTTGTTGCAGGTCAGGGAGTCACACTGATTCTATCTGCATGGGCAGATGAACAAAAACCTCTGGGCTCCACAACCAGTTTCCCAAATAGAACTTCTTAAATCTCACCCTTTGCTTCTAGATACATTTCCTGCAGCTCTCATATCTGCTCATCAGAGTAGAGACCCTTATCCCCATTTCACTGTGGCTGCATCACCAGCTCACATCTTTGTGACCTCTTCTGCTATGCATTTGGTCTCAGAGTCTCCTCCAACCCCACCACCATGATTGTTATCTGACATCATCTTTGCTTAGGCTCAACACTGACATGTTTTCAAATTTTCACCCTGTGAAGGATGGTCAAAACTGTGTCAAATTTAAATACTTCCCAGCTTCTTCCCTATCCTGCAAAATCCACTGCGCCTTTCAGTAAAGAGGCTTTGTGTCTGTCATCAGCCAGAAGCCAGACCTTTCTGCACCAAACCATCTCCATGCAGTTCTTGAATAGTTGTGTCTCTGGCCCATCCATACGACTTTCCTTCTGGGATTTTATTTCTTCATCTTCCACGTTTTCCCTTTGTCAACCAGCAAAGTCAGCTCATTCTGCATTCAGGCACCAGCTGGGATACTTCATGAAGAGCCATTCTTTCAGAAAACAACTGTTTCATCCCCTGGCTGCTTTAATTTCTCCAAATCCTGTTTCTCCCCTACCTCCCTGCTGTGAAAACCCATCATACTTGGACCATGAAAGGAAGATGGAGTATCTGAGCTCAGCCCAGATCCCTCCCTGCCTGGAGGACCCCAAGAGGTTTATACCCCTCAGACGACTGCTTCAGGGGCTGGTTTTTCATTCGCCTCCTTTAGTTTTGCTCCTCCAATTTCACAGGGTTGCTTGCAAGACAAATCACTTCTCAGGTCTCTTTCTCTGTGCCAAAGGAGTTCCTGGCACAGAGCTCTGCCTGGTGACAGATGTCACAAAGGGTAGTGTCCCAGGAGATGCCACTAAGGATCCCAGTGTCCCTCCGCACCTCAGGGAACCCTGAAGCTCTTCTAAAACAGCATCTGCAGACTGACTAAGCAGGACCATGATCAAAATAAACCGTATCTGGCAGTAGGATGGAGAGAGACCTCTGGAATCTATTCCACTGGTCCCTCAAAGGCTCTAACAAGCAGAAAAGGAAAGCAAGACCCATTCCAGGAGTCCTCCACCAGCATTGCTGCCATGGTCTCAGTGGTTTCCTCAGTTTACCCCTTCCCTGCTCTGCTCCCATATCTCTTGCCTATAAACGCCACCTCCTGGACCAGTGCCAGCTGGGGAAGGCAGGACCAAGGGATGTAGCTGTAGTCACCAGTGCTGCCTCTCCCAGAAAGAGACCATGATGGCATGGAGGTGCGCTGAAGTTACCCCTCCTGCCCTGAGCTCTGAGAATATTGTCCTACTGGCTTGATGTGAGATCCTCAGGAGTCCAAGGAGAAGTTGGGCACCTTTGCTGTTGGAAGACAACCCAGTGCTTCACTAGAGGAATGAAACCTATCCCAAGAAACCTGCTCTCTCTTGGCATATGGCAATCCAGGGGAAGAAAAGTCAAGAACACGTGGTTTCCCAGGGCAGAGAAGCTATTAGGGTTCCCTGAAGCCTCTTTGTGCCATATTAACCCAGGTGCAAGGAATTCAAAACCCACTTATCTGTTGAGGAATTAAGTGTTCCTTATTTGCTGCCCTCCCCAACAAACTCATTCACTCCTTCTCCACCCACACCAGC